GGGAACATGAAATAAATAAATGACGCATATGAATAACTAAGAATATATTTAAATAAAATTCTAATGAGAGAGACATCACAGCAAACATATATATTACACAAAAGTCAAGCTGTAAATAAAAATGTGTGGAGATTAAAAGTAGAGAGGGGACGAAAAGAGTCGACTAGCTTGTGTGTGTGTGTGTGTGTGTGTGTGAGTGTGTGAGTGTGTGTGCTGTGTGTATAGTTTTAATCAAACCGCCGCTAGAGTTTACTTTTGCGCCTTTTTTAAGGTGCGGTTCAGTGCCCTTTGGTGGCCATAAAACAGACGACGACGCTGGCCACTGCTGTGGGCCAAGCAGCGGGACAGGAAACGCCATCAGCTGGGCTAGGGGCTCGGGGCACGGGACACGGAACACGGAGCACGGGACAAGGGACAAGGGATAAGGGACACGAGGCTCGAGGCTCGAGGCTCGTTAGAGGCCAGCGAAATGTTGCGAGGGTTGCGAGCAGCCTTTTACGGGGTTGGCTCGTAAATTACACGGGGCGTGAGTGTGCGTGTGTGTGTATTTATATCTGCGTGCATGGGTGTGTGTGTGTGTTAGAACTGCACGCAAGCCGCAAATGAACATGCAAGCTCCATTTAACTACTACTAGGCTACAATCGGCACTCGCTTGGACTGTCGAAATAAATTTCCAAATTTATTTTGGTAGGCGCACGTTTGAGAGGTAACTTCTCTTACTCTTTCTCTTTCTCTTTCTCTCTCTTACTCACTCTCTATAAATAAATAAATTATTTGCAATTGTTGCGCGGCTGTTGCTGATTGATGAGCTTCGCACACACGAATCTATGCGCTACATTTGTTTCTTTAGCTACTCGATGGGCTTTGTGACAGCGATTTGTCAAAGAGCTTAACCCAAAAACTATCAAAATTGATCAACTATGCAAATGCATCGCCGTGAAATATTGCCGACCTAACGAACAGTTGTCAAAAACTTGACAAATTGTGAATGAAGTTGCGGCTGAGCTGCATTCGAATTGGCCATATAGATTACCCAATTTCAAGCAACCACAACAACAACAACAACCACGTTCGGCCACCTACGTTACACAATACTTACGACTAAATGCGAAATGTGAGACCAGCCACGGCGCAGCGCTCGAAGGAGCTTTACAAGTGCAAAACAATATGAAACACAGACAGTCACATACATAGACACAGTTACATATGACACAAGTACAGCTGCAGATAGAGATACTTTGGACTGCCAAAAGATACTTACACGTTGCAAACAACGCGCGCATGACGCAAACGTCATTA